CCCAAGTGAGTTCTTTTCTAACAAGAGCACATTGGAATTGAGAACTGAAAGACTGCAGATGCTGTAAATGAGAAACAAAAACTGAAATTGTTGGAAAAGCTCAGCCTAACCTGAGCATCAGAGGTTTCAGTCACTGGGAAGACCACCTTGGATTTCTTTGTTTCACTTAATATTCACATCTCTGTGCACATTGCCTTCCCCCATATACAATGCTGAGTGGGGCAGGAGGAACTGTTGCAGGGTTCTCTCATACTCTCCTCTAGCCCTCCCTCTGGTCAGGACACCATCTGTTGAAGTGTCCAGCTCTTGCCCGTTGCCTCCCCTATAAGCCTCCTCTCCTCTACACTCTGTGTTTAATGAACGTGCAGCTCCTGTCACCCATTTTACAGCCGCCATTGGTCCTTAGGATGGTGAGTGTCATTTTATTGGTCTGTGCTCCTGAACAGCTCCTTTACACACACGTCCAAAGTACTGAGATAACAAGGTGTAGAGCTGGATGATCACAGCAGGTCAGGCAGCATCAGAGGAACAGGAAAGCTGACGTTTTGGGTCTGGACCCTTCTTCAGACCCGAAATGTCAGCTTTCCTGCTCCTCTGATGCTGCCTGACCTGCTGTGTTCATCCAGCTGTACACCTTGTAATCTCAGATTCGCTAACATCGGCAGTTCTTACTAGTTCCAAAGTACTGGATTCTTTTAATATAACCTGTACTCTGCTGGTTTGTCCTTCCTAGGAATTGTAATCGAAACCAACACTCCAGCAATCAAAATGAAGCATTGAATGGTATCCCATTGAGAGAGGTGACCTGTTTAGGTGAAGCATGGAGCCTTGTGCCAACGGCAGCTGAGCATCAGGATGGAGCGGCTGGAGAACAAAACCTTCTGGGGAACGGGGCTGTCCAGCACTAACTGAGTTTCCACTGCACTAAGCCTGGGTCAGGGAGGGGAAAATCAGCACTGTGTTGTGGGGCTCGAGTGATTCTTGTCTGAGCTCAGGATTGAGATCAACAATCACTTCCCACTTTGCACAAACCCTTCTGAGCAGAGCCATCTCAGGAGGGAAAATCCCAGTGGAAGTGTTATTCCCTTTACTAGAAAAACAGTCCAAGTATTTCATCGTCTGCATTATATTCTCAGCAATACTGTTACAGACTGTGTCCAAACCCAGTCTCAGAAACTGTTAAGACCACCATTAACGTGTAACCCATTGATCACTCCCAGTTAGAGGTGGTAACTTCCAAAATATCCTATTGATAAATGAGTGGGAACATCAGGTAGTTTCTGATGAATTTATTAACTTGCTGTTTGTGGGATGATGCTGCCAGAGCCCTGTTTATTGTCCATCTCGACTTGACCCGCTGCAGTTGTTTTAGTGATTGTGCTCCCACAGTAGGGAGCATGGGGAGAGGGTTCAAAAACTCCCTCTGCAGCAGCATCTACTTGGTAAAGCCAGTCACTACATTATTGCCAGCAACTGTTTTGTATCCAAGATTCAGATTCTGGTTGGTTTACAGATTATACAGATATATCCTGTATATTAAATGTTACATTCCTATGAGGTTTTGCTCAAAACAGTGAACTTGGTAATGGAAGTAAAGAATTTTAATGTACCTATTTTATACATGGATAAACCTGAATTGCTATTGTAGATATTTGTTGATTTCTTAAATGGAGCTTTTGTTTCAATCTGTAATTAAATAAGTTGGCTAAGTAATGCTGGTGTCTACAGCCTCATTTTTAATGCCTGCTGGAAACAGGCAGTAAATTTTCCTTTACCTATTGGAGTGAATCGAATTGGCTGAAGACTGTCATCCATGATTGTGGGAACCTCAGGAGGAGACTGGGTATAATCATCCAGGTGGTGTTTCCTGATTATTGGGCGTGATAGTTGTTTGGGGAGGGGAGGGTGTGTGGAACGGGGGATCTACTATTGTCTTTCTGGATGGGGTTTATGGTATTAATAATTGGAATAGTTCAACTTGCTCAGAAAGGAGGAAAATACATAAACACGAGAATCACATTCACAGCAGGAAAATCATAGCCTCTAACTTGTTCCTGAACACCATCTCATTCCAATAAATTATATTTAATGTATGTTCAGGGAATTATATCAACTTCCCAAGACTGTTTCCAGGAACATTATAAAGCAGAGAATGATACCAAGCCATATTTGGAGATATTGGGTCAGAGGAGGAAAATGAGGTCGGTTAATTCAGTTTGGGATCCCAAACTTTGGGAGAAAGAAAATCTCACATATTCTTCTTTTAAGAAAAACTGTCTTTTTTCATATATATTTAATTATATTCCATTCCAAAAAACCAATGTCCCATTTCACTGCTGACTTCCCTCCAGACTACATCATCATCCTTATCCACTTGGCTGTGTTCCCACATTAAACATCTCCTTTCACTCACTCACTTGCACCAAACCAAAGGTGTGAGATATGCGTACCTGCATGGGAACTGGCTCCGGCTGATTTTTTTGTTGGAGATGTGGAACTTGGTTCAGTTCTGCGCTGGCTCCTCTCCCTCACCTCTTTCTCTGGTATATAAATTACTGAATCGGTGTCGTTTCCAGGTTTTACCCCAAAGTGGACAATTTCCTCACATCTACTTCTAATTTCCCCTCTTCTCTCACCTTCACAGTCTCCATGTTCACCCCTTCTGATTAGTAAACAATGAGATCACATGGGACAAGGGATAATATAGTGACAAGGATTGAAAATAGACAGACTGTCCATTCTATGCTGAGGGAAAGCTGTTTAACAATGTATAGTAGAAGGAGGAGGAGGACCCTGCAGGCTTGTTCGCCATGCATTAAGGTCGTGGCTGATCTTCCCCCTCAACTCCACTTTTCTGACCGATCCCAATGTCCTGTAATTCCCATTGAGTCAAAAAATCTCAGCCTTGAAACTCTGAAAATATTTCCACTTCTCCAACAATCTGGTTCAGGACACCATTGATCCAATGCTGAGCAGTTATATTAAGGTCCTACAGTAGTTTTGTGGGTCGCTCTCACACTTCTGAATCCCTTGCAGTGATAAGAGCCTTGTAATGCAGGGTGACACTCCCAGTGCAGTGCTGAGTGAGTGCTGCACTGTCAAAGGGCACCTACGTATAGATTGTGCAATGTGGGATTTTCTGTTGTTTGGATGAAACATTGAACTGAAGCCCTGTCTGTTCTTCAGGGGAAAATGTTTGGGGAATTTTCACTGGAAACATGGGGCCAGTATTTATTCCAGAACTTATCGTTAAAAACAGTGATTTGCTTTTGTGCTGACCCAGTATTGTGGGAGATTGCTGTGCAGTGGTAATATGTATATTTAAAATACCACTCTTCACTTAGTATTTCATGAGCTACAGACTACCTTGGGTTATCCTGTAGTCCTGAATGCAAATCTTCATTGTTAGAAATGAACTAAATTCACCCTGCAGTACCACTCTCCACTTACAGAGCAGAGCCTTTGCTCATTGTTGGCCATTTGAGGTGGACAGCACTGCCATCTACTGGTTTCATCCTTTAATACAGGAACTGGACTCCGGGTGTATCTCTCTGCACCCTCTTCAATACATGAACCAGTCTTTGCATGACAACACTTGAACAGGTTGTTTAGCAGGAAACAGTCCATTTTTTTCTCTAAATTGTTGATATGCATTTTATAGATTGGTGAAGGCGATTTCCATTGCTGTAAAATGTGTTGAATGTGTCTGATATCCTGATGTATTCTCTCAGCATGCGTATAAATAGAAAATATGTGATTCAAAGTGCTGTCCAGTTGCTTTATGTTGGTAAATATCCAGCACAAGCTGCTTTTACTTCAAGATCCGCAATGTCTAAGCTTTAACCTTCCCACACAAATGAAAGCAGTGAGTTACCGCTCAGAGCTTCTTGTGGATCCAGTATCGCAGTGTAACCATGTGAAGCTTGAGATGTAATGTACCAGCAGGGAGGTTATATCAGTATATAAATACATTCAATCTTTTCCAGGTGACCTGCCTATCTGAGTTTCTGGGGTCTTTGGGGAGCAAGTTGTAGGCAAATGTTCCGTTGGACTTCTTAGCGAAAGGAGTTGAGCATTGGAGCAGTGATGTCTTGCTGAAATTATGCAGGGTCTTTGCGAATACCATACCTGTGCAGTTTTGGTCTCCTCATCTGAGGAGGATGTTCTTGTTATACAGTGAATGTTTACCACACTGATTCCTGGGATGTGGGAGTGATGTATGGTAGGAGACAAGATTAGTTAGGAATTATTCACTGGAGTTTAAAAGAATTACACTGGGTTGGGGGTGGGGGTGAAGAAGGTGGAGAAAGATATTTTATAGAAATCAACTGGGCTACACAAGTTGGATGCAGAAAGGATGTTCCTAATAATGGGGGAGACCAGACTCAGGTCACAGTTTAAGGTAATGAAGTTGGCCATTTAAGACTGAGATGAGGACAAATTCCTTTACCCAGACACTAGTGAACCTGTGGAATTCGTTACCACAGAAAGCAGTCAACACCAAAACATTTACTATTTGAAAAAGGAGTTGGAGCTAAAGGAACCAGAGGATATGGGAGTAAAGCAGGAATAGGCTACTGAATTGGATGATTCGCCGTAACCATAATGAACGACAGAGCAGGCTCAAAGGGCCAAACGGCTTACTCTTGCTCCGGTCTTCTACGTTTCAATATTTTGTTGTAAAATTTGGAATCCTCACCTGGTCTGGTCTGTATGTGAGTCCAGCCCTCCATTAACTCCTCTCTGACTTGCTTGGAATTTCAGTTTGTATCAAACCAGAAAAACAGAATAAAACTAAATGCACCACTAGCTGTAACAGAGTCTGAATCAGGTCACAACAAAGAAACACATTGACCTGATTCAGACTCGGTCACAGCCAGTGGTGCATTCAGTTTTGTTCTGTTTTTCTGGTTTGATACAAACTGAAATTCCAAGCAAATATTTTTACTGTAATTGTAATTTTTGTGATCCCAAAACAACCAAGGTACCGAGTTCCACAACATTCGACAGTTCACATTTATTCTGATTTGATTACATTTTGAAAAATTAGTACTCTAAAATCTCACATGAATTTGACATGAACTCCTGAAAATCACAACTTTAAGTGAGGCCTCATTTCCCATAAGAATCAGTGTTAACAGCAGAGTTAGGTTGCCGCAATTTTTGCTGAAAGGAAACAAATGTACAGATTGAAATACTGGACTGTGTGCGCAATACCATGTACTCATAACTGAAGCAATTTACAAAATAAAATGAATCACTAAATATGGAAGAAATACTACACATCATGCAATTCAATATTGTTTAAAAAGTATGACTGCTCTACAATAGTTTAAACTGAATATTTCCTATGTAGTGGCAGGAGTTAGTCAGTGCAGGCATTAGCCTGTCTGATCTAATCCCTCACTCACTGTTAAATAGAGATCCTCGTCTAATTCTTCATCTGCAATATTGAGGTGAACTGTCAATTTTCTGTTTGTTTGATGCCTTGGTCAACACAGCTCCTGTGGAGTGTCCAGCTCGTCTAGTTATGGGTACATGAATAGGAAGGATATAGAGAGCTATGGACCAAATGCTGCCTCCTCTCCTCTGTGCTCCATCACTGTGCAGCTCCTGTCACCCATTTTCCAGCTGCCATTGATCTCTAGAATGTTGACTGTCATTTAATGATTCTGTGTTCCTGAACAGTTCCTTTACACACTTAGTCAAAGTTGTTGGATTCTTCAGTGTAACCTGCACTTTGCTGGTTTCTCTCTTGTAGGAATTACATTCCAAGCTGACACTCCAACAGTCGAAACATTGAATGGTGTCTGTTTGACAGAGGTGACCTGTTCAGGTGAAGCACAGAGCCTTTTGACACAGCACTTGAGCATCAGGATGGAGTGGCTGGAGAACAAAACCTTCTGGGGAACAGAGTTGTCCAGCACTAACCAAGTTTCAACTGTACTGTGCCTAGGTCAGTGAGGGAAAAATCAGCCCAATGTTGCGTTGATCAAATGATTCCTGGTGCAAAAGTCCAAGTTCAGGACTGGGATCAACAATCACTACCTACTTTACACAATAAGTTCCCAGCAGTAGAATCTCAGGAGGGCAACTCTCAGTGGAAGTGTTTACTAGAACAACTGTCTAATTTGGAAAATTTGAAAATACCGTGTTGATGAATGCCTGAGAACATCACGTAGTTTCTGCTGAAATTATTAACTTGTTCTCAGAGTGGATGATACTGTCAGATTCCATTTATTGTCCATCTCAACTTGAACCACTGCAGTCATAGAGCTGTACAGCATGGAAACAGATCCTTCAGTCCAACTCATCAATGCTGACCAGGTTTCCTAAATTAATCTAGTCCCATTTGCCAGCAGTTGGTCCATAGCTCTCTACACCCTTCCTACCCACCCAGATGCCTTTTAAAATGTTGTAACTGTACCAGCCTCCACTATCTCCTCTGACAGCTCACTCCATACACACACCACCCTCTATGTGGAAACGTTGCCCCTTAGGTCCATTTTGAATCTTTTCCCTCTCACCTTCAACTTATGCCCTCTAGTTTTGGACTTCCCTACCAGCATGACTTTGAGCTTTTGATGGACTGTCTTGTTCATGTTCCATTTTCATTCCTGTTCTCACCCTGAAACTGAAGGGTCACAGTCTCAAGACACAAGGTAGACCATTTAAAATTGAGATGGGTAAAAAAACATTTCTTCACTCAAAAGAGTAGTAAACCTATAAAACCCTATGGAGGCCAGGCCACGGAGTCATACTCAAAAAAACAATGGCTATATTTCCAGATTTTGAAGGCAACAAAGGGAATAGGGGGAAAAGCAAGAATATGGCATTAAATTAGAGAAGCAGATGTGATCACAGTAAATGGCAGAGCACCAACTGGCCTATTCCTGTTCCTGGTTTCTAATGTTTGACCAAGCACTTTACAGCTTTCAGGACTCAACTGTGAGTTTACATGTTACAGACTGTAATCTGTTCCTGTTTTACTAGATTTTTCTTTTATTTTCTAAACCAGCATCAAACCCTATTTTTGACAAACAACAAATTGACAAATTACAAGCATTGTGCACCAGGGATAGTGCTCACTTCTTTCTGTTTTTCTTTTGGAAGAATTCATGTCAGCATCAATTTGTTTAGCTAGCACCTATTTGTTTAACGTACTTTGTAATCTATCTGTTGAAAGTTGTAACTATGTACCTCTGGAGTAGCTGAGACTTGAACCCAGGCCTCCAACCGCAGAGGTAAGATCACTACCACAACACCACAAGTGCTTCCTCAATTTTCTCTCTTTTTTTGTATATTTAACCTATTTTTCTAATCAACTTATTCAGAAATGTTATGACACACCTCTGGACCAGATAGGTCTTTGACCCAGACCTTCTACTTCAGGAGTTAAGGACACTACCACCACACCACACAAGCCACCTCACTTTTCTCTTTGCTTTCTGCCAGAAGGACATGAGCTGCTGCCTTTCACATCTCCTCCGGACAGATATTTTATTTCTTCACTTGTCGCTTTATCACTCTGTTTAGATTTACCCAATAAACCCTTTGGCCTTTTAATCTCTACTTCCCTCCAGCCGATCACAGGCGTTCACTCTTGTTCTTTTTCCTCCTTTCACTTCTTCACACCCTCTTACACTTTTAACTTGTCTCCGTTTAGATAAAAACTCACTGACCTAAAACATTAACTCTGCGACTCTCCACGGACGCTGCTGAACTTGCCCAGTTCTTTCACCATTTCCTATCCCAAAATGGCGCCCTCTTCGCTCCACCCCCATCTTGCCACGCCAAGCACACCCTCACCCGCCCTGCGCTCTCATTGGGTGAGCTTCCAGCCAATCAACGGATACTTCCCAGGGGGTGACCTGCGTCACCTGGACCAGTGCACCAATGGGAATCCCTAGATCTCGGTTCATGTTGCTGATTGGTCTGTGTTTCCACGACCCGTGACACGAGACAGCCCATTGAAGGGAGGGGCGGGGTAAGTTCTGATTGACGGCCCGGACAGCCCCCCTAATTGGCTCTTGTTTCTGGGTCCGCCCTCTTGGCTCGAGCAGAAACCGTTGGCAGAAACAAAGCGTTTAAAATTTGAAAAGTGGGTCTGGAGGTGAAACGTTGGACTGAATGGCCAACTTCAGAAAATTCAGCTTATTGGAGGGTGAGATAATCACATGAAGAAAGCTCAGGGAAGAAGCGAGCGAGGTGAATGTACGATACAACAAGGTGCAGGGCTGGATGAACACAGCAGGCCAAGCAGCATCATAGGAGCAGAGAGGCTGACGTTTCAGGCCTAGACCCTTCATCAGAAAAGGGGGAGGGGAAGGGGGTTTTGAAATAAATAGGGAGAGAGTGGACGGCGGATAGAAGTTGCAGTGGGAGAGAGATCCCTTGAGGTTTGTCCGGAGGGAGGAGGGTAACTTCTTCAGGTTAGGCATCCTTAGAAGAGGTTTCGCAGTGGGGTTAAAATCGAATCAGAGATAGTAGGAACTGCAGATGCTGGAGAATACAGGATTCTCTATCCGCCTCCCACTCTCTCCCTATTTATTTCAAAACCCCCTTCCCCTCCCCCTTTTCTGATGAAGGGTCTAGGCCCGAAACGTCAGCCTCTCTGCTCCTATGATGCTGCTTGGCCTGCTGTGTTCATCCAGCCCTGCACCTTGTTGTCTCGGATTCTCCAGCATCTGCAGTTCCTACTATCTCTGAATGTACGATAGGTTGGGATGTGCATTGCATTTACTCGAAAGTAGTCTTTTTTTTAATTTGAAGGATGAATCATTGCCTGGAATTGGGGCTTCCAAGAGAAAAGGGAACTGCACAAGGAGGAGAACAAGTCTTCTTTCTATTCTGTTCTCAGCCTCACATACTTCAATAAATCGTCCCAAACCAACAATGTCCAGGCTTCCTGAGAAGGATGCAGCAGCAGGAGCATGAGAAAACTGTCACTTGCAAGCTCCCCTCTGAATCACACATTCATTGTGCCAATTTGAAGAGATTTTGCTCGTTCCTTCATCTTCATTGTGTCATAAACCTGGAACTCTCTCCCTAATGGCACAGTGGGAACTTCATGTGATGGGACTGAAATGGTTTGAGAGGAAGGTCACCACTATCTTCCCAAGCAGGACACGGATGGACAATTAATGCCGACCTTACCATTTAACACATCTCAAGAATTAATACAACATTGCAAAGATTAGACACCTCCCTTCACTGCTGTTACATTCAGTAGATTGTGTTTTATATGGAACGCTGTTGTTGCATTAACAGGTCCTTTGCATGTCTAACAGCATCTTACCAGGAAGATGCAGGTAGATACCATGGGTGATGGGTTAACATTCCTCCCACTGGGCACCTGTTCTCTGTTGGCCACAGTAAATGTAACAAATATGGAGCTCTAGTTTCAAGTTCAACCCCAAGACTCATTAACCATGGAACGTGCATTCATAATGCAACCAAACAGATCAACCTGCAAATCCTTCCAACATGGCTATGGAAGGTGGTTGGAGTGAGAGACACCTGGTCAGTCATGATTGATGTGGAGTGGTACCCTTCAAGCACTAACTTCTGGCTTCAGGCTAGTGACCTAAAGGGGAAAAAAAAACACATTTACAGCAATAGACAGAAGTGTGCAATTCATCTGCCTCATGTGTTTCCAGATGAAGGAGGGATATAAAGAAAGAAGAAGGAAATGAGACCAATGACAACCCAGTGGATCTTCCATGTGTCCTCACTAATCTAATAGAGGATCAAAATAAAGTGTCTGATTGAAATTCTGAACACATACACAACTCAGCTCAAACTGCATCCATGAAGAAGTTCAATGTGTTTTCAACACTGAAACAAAGTCAATAGAACAAGAGTACATGAACACCAACTGGCTACAAAAAGACATGACCAATACTCACTCATGTCAATCCACATGGACAAGGAGAACCACCACTTCGACTGGGACAACACCAAGATCCTGGGACAGGCTAGGCAGAGACAGATACGAGAATTCCTAGAAGCATGGCACTCCACAAAGCATACTATTAATAAACACATTGAACTCGACCTCATATACATTCCACTACGAAGGAAAACCGGAAGTGAGGTAATCCATCTCAACGGACCCCAGAGTTTAAAAATCAGGCGAGAAAACACACCAATGCTTCACTGGAGGCTGCACTGAGGAGGTTACCAAACATGGTAACGAAACATCTGCGAAACAAGAAACCATCTCGGCAAGCCAACCAACCTCAACAACCTCAAGAAGTCAATAGAAATTGGATGGAGTCTTCCTTGTTGTGCTGTGTGTTACGATGGGGAATCAAAGGGAAAATCTGTTTAAAATGTTAAATAAGAATTAACCAAATGAGCCTAACCACAGGTATGAAGAAGTTCAATGTGTATTCAAAATTGATGACCCAATGGCGCACTCAAAGGGTGTGAGAATTAGATCCCTGACACGTTGGTGATGGATCTGTAGAAATCTAAACTCCTTCTTGGGATGTGCATAGACCTTCCAGCCATTTCCAGCACAGTGCCACCTGCATGTCATGTCGTCCTCACATGTCTCTCCACCTGTGCCAGAAGGAGCTGAAGTCTGAAGGGCACAAAATGCAAAGGGACTATCTTCCCATTCCCCCAATCCTGCCCTGCTTGCTGGAGGCACCTTATCCTGCAAGAGAAAAGATAAAATATGTATATGCGTTCAGCCCTGTAATTGACCATAGTGTCAACCATAATTGTATAGCTGGAAACCACGTGTGGAGTCAGCAAGGGTTCGGGGTATTGGCAGCATTTATAGGTGCGTGAGCCTAAGGTGTTATTATTTGAGAACACTGAGCATTATGGAGTGTTGCTGGTGACTAATGGAATGTGTGGTGCATTGAGCACTAGGAGATTAGCCATGTTCTGGTTATGAGATACCATGGGAATATGTATTTAACCACCTTGACAGCCAGTGTGAGGTCATTTGATGTCTTGTGGTGCTGTTGTCAATCGTTGAGCTATTTATTGGGAATGAACTTCCCTGACCACCTGCTCCCATTCTATCAGAGGGTTTTCTGAAATCCCTGACCAAAGGAGGTTCTTCTCCTGTTAGCCTAAGGCCTCTCACACAGTTTCTGTGATCTTGGTATCCTCTCTCCTTGTTAACACTGCAGCAATGCTATTCAGCAGCAGCCCCTGGAATTCAGTGCAGTTGACCTTTAATGTCTGGTACAGATATTAGTTTTGAATGTGTATTTTCAGTCATATCTGCATGTTATCAGACAGGGAGTTTCTGATCTGTGTTATCTATAAGTTCTTTTCAAATGGGGAATATTGCCTTCAGTCAATTTTAACAATAAAGAAACTTTCATTCCTTCGTTCACAATTGTCAGACATAGTGTCCCTATTGGTGAATCCTCCATTCACTTTTTGCCCCTTGATGAAATCTATATATTTTTGAAACTTCATTGTCTACGTGTATTGTAAACCAGCAACCGTGAAAATAAACTTCGGTTGACTGGATATTTAAGGTATAGTTTGTATCAGATTTTGTCTCGAAACAGGGCTGCAGTCCCGTTATGGGGTTTAACAGGTTACACAGGTCAGTTGAAGAGTCAGTGAACAGTAGTTGGTGAGCAGTTTGTTGGGTGCAGACAAAGAGGAACATTGGTTCCTTGCAGCAGAAATACTGCTGTTAGCTGTTTCATAATGTGAAAGTCCATTTCTGTATCACCTGAGTGTTCACTGAGCTATATTGGCTCCAAAATCAAGCAGTATCTGGATTTTAAAATTTATAGCCTTGTTTTCAAATTCCTCAATGGTCCTGTTCCTTTGTTTCTGTAGCCTTGTCCAACCCCACAACGCATCGCATTCTCTGAACTCCTTCACTTGTTCATCTCTGATTTCATTGCTTCATCATGGATATTTGTGGCTTCAGTTGCCTATGCCCCAAGATTTGAGATTCCCTCCTGAAACCCCTTTGCCTGTGTAGTTCAATTTCCTCCTTTACAAAGCTCCTTAAAACCTACCTCACTGATTTTAGACCATCTAACCAAACAATTCCTGTGACCCAGTGTCACAGTTTATTTACAATGCCTCTAAAGACATAACATTATGTTAATAGTGTTACATAACTTGATATTTTTATGATTATGATGGGACTGAGCATGATCTTCAATATTCTCCCAAAGAGGAGAACCCCTTCTTTCTAACCCACACAGGAGCAACAGATTTCTCCCAAATGAACTCTGGAAAATAAATATTAAAATTATTGAGAGCCCAGAGAGAGATGTTCTGCCTACTGCAGATTGATTCTGTTAAAATTAATGTTTCATCCTTGAAGGAAAATTGCAAGAGCTCCAACATACTCTTGATCCATGAGCAGGTTATTGCTGAGCAGGTGCTGCTTGATAACGTTGTTGACGATATCTTCTATCACACCTTTCTCCTCTAGTGATCCCCAGCATCAGAGATGCCAGTCTTCAGCAAATTCAATTCACTCCATGTGCTATCAAGACACAGTGGAGGCACGAGATACTGCAAAGGCTATGGGCTTTGATAACGTTCTGGTAGTAGTACTGAAGATCAGAACTTGTCACTCCCCTAGCCGAATTGTTCCAGTATAGCTATAAAACTGACATCCACCATATAATGTGGAAAATTGCTCAGGATGTCCTGCATGCAAAAAAAAAAGGACAAATCCAACCCAGTCAATTACACCCTATCAGCCTACTCTTGATCATTAGTAAAATGATGGAAGGTGTCATCAATAGTGCTATCAAGCAGCACCTGAACAGAATACCTCATCACAAATGCCCGGTTTGGGTTTGGCCAGGGCCACTTAGCTTCTGACCTCATTATAGTGTTGGTACAAACATGGACAAAACCACTTAATTCCAAAGGTGAGGTGAGAATGACGGTCCTTGATATCAAGTCAGCATTCGACTGAGTGTGGTATCAAGGAGCCCTCGCAAAATTGGAATCAATGGGAATCAGAGGCAAACACTCCTCTGAATGGAGTTACATCTGGTGGATAGGAAGATGGTTTTGGTTGTTGGAAGTCAGTCATCTCAGCTCCAGGGCATGATGTTCTACAGTGCAGAGTCTTACATTGAACCATCTTCATCTGCTTCACCAATGAATTTCACTCAGTCATAAGGCCAGAAGTGGGGATGTTCAATAATGATTGCACAATGTTCAGCACCATTTGTGATTCCTTAGATACTCAAGCAGACCATGTTCAAATGCAACAAGATCTGGACAATGTCCAGGCCTGGGCTGACAAATGGCAAGCAACGTTCACACCACACAAATGCCAGGCAATGACCATCTCCAATAGGAAACAATCTAAACAGTGCACCTTGTTCATTCAGTCGTGTTGCCATCACTGAATTCCCCACTATCAACATTCTGGGGGCTTGCAGTTGACCAGAAACTCAACGGAATTCACCATGTAAATATATTGCCTACAAGAGCAGGCCAGAGGCTAGGTATACTGTGGTGAGTAACTCACCTCCTGACTCCCAAAGCCTGTCCACCATCCACTGGCCTGGATGGATACAGCTCCAACAACATGCAGGAAACTTGACACCATCCAGGACAAAGCAGCCCCTGCTTGATTGACATCACATCTACAAGCATCTGGTCCCTTGACCTCCGACCTTCGGTAGTAGCAATGTGTCCCATCTACAAGGTGCACTGCAGAAATTCACCAAAGATCCTCAGACAGCACCTTCCAAACCAACGACCACTTCCATCTAGAAGGACAAGGACAGCAGATACATGGGATCACCACCCTGTGCACATTCCCCTCCAAGACACTCACCATCCTAATTTGGAAATATATTGCCATTATTTCACTGTCACTGGGTCAAAATACTGGAATTCCCTTCCTAATGGCATTATGTGTCTACAGCACATGGACTGCAGTGGTTCAAAAAGGCAGCTCACCACCACCTTTTCAAGGGCATCTAGGGACAGGCAATAAATGATGGCCAGCTCGTGATGCTCACATCCCATGAGTAAATGTATGTTCTCCATTACATTGACTTAAATAGGAGATAAGCATAGAATCAGGCCATTCAGCCAAACTAGCCCATGGTGATTATGCTCCACTGAAGCCTCTTCCCTTCTTTCTTTACCTAAATCAATCATTGTAACTCTCTATTCCTTTCTCCCTCATGTGTTTATTCAGCTTCCTCATACATAAGTCAGTACTGTTCACCTCAACCATTGCCTGTGAAAGTGAGTTCCACATTCTTCCAATTCTCTGGTTAAAGAAGATTCTCATGAATTTCTGATTGGATTTATTAGGTATTGTTGTATATCAATGGTTCTTAGCTTTCTCTTCCCCAAAGAGGAAACTTTCTGTATCCATTCTATCAAAATAATTGAACATGTTAAAGAGTTCTAATAGGTCACCGCTTGGACTTTTTTCAAGCAAAACACAGCTTTCCCAAAACATAAACCTCACATTTCTTTTATTATTTTTGTTAATCTCTCAATATCCTCCCCAGTGCCTCTAGATCTGAGCAGAACGGTGCACGGTACTCCAAGTCTGGCCTAACCAAGCTTAGACACAGATTTAGCATAACCTCCCAACTTTTCAATTCTATCCCTCTAGAAATAAATCCTAGTTCATTGTTTGCTTTCAGTTTGCTTTGTTAACCTAAACTGTCCTGTACAGCCACAACATGACCTCCTTTACTCAATGTACTGACCAATAAAGGCAAGCATACCAAATGCTTTCTTCACTACCCTGACTACCTGTGACTCCACTTTCAAGGAACTATGAACCTGGACTCCAAGGTCTTTTTGTTTGGAAACAGTCCCCATGACCTTACCATTAAGTATGCAAGTCCTACCCTGATTTGCCCTACTAAAATGTAGCACCTCACATTTATCTAGATTAAATTCCTTTGGCCATGCCATGGTCCATCGGCCCATCTGATCAAGGTTCTGTGTACTCTGAGGTAATCTTCTTGTCCAGTACACCGTCAATTTTGGTGTTATCTGCAAAATTACTAACCATACCTCCTCATATTCACATCCAAATTATTTAGATAAATGACACAAAGCAGTGGACCCAGCTCCAATCCTTGCGGCACACCACTGGTCACAGACCTCCAGTCCGAACAGGAGCTCTCTACCACCACCCTCTGTCTCTTACCTTTGAGCCAATTTTGTGCCAAAATGGCTAGTTCTCTCAGTATTCAATGCAATTTAACCTTGTTAGCCAGTCTACCATGCAGAACCTTGTTGAACGCCTTATCGAAGTCCGTATAGATAATGTCCACCATTCTGCCTTCATCAATCTTCTTTGTCACTTCTTCAAAAAATTCAAATCAGTGAGACACATTTTCCTAAGCAAAAAACCATGTTGACTATCCCTAATCTGTCCTTGCCTTTCCAAGTACATGCAAATCATATCCCTCAGAAACCCTTCCAGCAGCTTGCTCACCACTGATATCAGGCTCACTGGTCTATAGGTCCCTAGCTTTTCCTTACCACCTTTTTTAAATAGTGGCATCACGTTAGCCCACCTCCAGTCTTCCAGCATCTCACCCACGGTATCAATGATACAAATATCTCAGCAAGGGGCTCAGCAATCCCTAGCTTCCCACAAAGTTCTAGGGTACATGTGATCCGCTCCCAGGGATTTATCCACCTTTATGTGATTTAAGATGTCCTGCAAATCCTCCTCTGTAATATGGATGCTTTTCAGGATATTGCTATTTATTTCCCCAAATTCTGTAGTTTCCATATCCTTCTCCACAGTAAACACTGATGCAAAATAATCATTCAGTATGTCATCCA